GGCCCAAATCTAGCCCGATATTTTAGTGGGCCTAGCCCATGCCCGGCCCAAATAATAATGGGCTCAAAAATTTAAGCTCGAACTGAGCCCAAGCCTGGCCCAATTTACAAATTTCTGGGTTTAGCCCGGCCCATTCCGTCCCCTAAATATATCCATGTTTCAATTGTCCATATAAATAGTTTAACAATTATTTCGATATCTATCGGATATGAGGTTCTTCAATACGCTAACCCTAACATTAATGAACTTTAAAAAATTTTTCCTGCACCACAAAACCTGGCACAAAATTTTTGAGTGCATTATAAAAATTTTTGAGTGCATTATTATTTATATTATATGACTTTGTTATATTTCTCAAATGCCATGTTTATTTATATGATTTTTTATGATGCCTATATGTTATTTAAAGAGTTCGATCAAAATGGTTTGTTTTAGAAAACTAGTGTTTAAATCGACCTTGGTGCATTAATTAAAAATGTCAAGAACGAAATTTTACATATAGCGAGTAACAATCTATTGTTATAGCATCTATAGCACCCTAATCGCAAACTTCTATCTTTATAGCATTTACTAATTTCACCCCCAAGTTTCTATTGGTCATCGGTAAATCGCATTTTTGATTGGGCGAAATCGACGATCTTTAATAACGTGATTTGATCCTAGCCAATCAGGAAGCAAGATCAGATGTAATGTGAAAATTAAAAAAACAATCGCCTTTTCTAAAAAGTCACATTAATCTCAAAATTTCGCCTAAGAAATTACCTTTTGCGTACTAACAAAAAAATTCCTTGCAAAATTTTGGTATAATGCTGCCCACTAACTCTAACCCTAATCTTAACTAAGATATCACATTATAAAAGGAAGGTGATATATAAATTGGTGCGAATAATCCCAGCCAATAGAAATTTGAGGGAAAAATTAGTAAATCATCTTTACGCACTTGGTTTATTTACAAAATTTGATTTCCTTTTTTGGTTTGGTCACATGCATGTAACGTACGTAAACTCTCACATCAAATTTTATTTCGCGTTTTTTTTTTTAAATTAATTATGCTAGCGTTTTTAAGAATTATTATTTATGCTAGTTTGCTTTTAAGAAATACACTTTTTTTAACAAAGGTTAGTATTATATTTGTGAATGACTTCGAAAACAGAAGGTTGTTTACTTTAGTTTAAGATGTCTATTAAGGTCTGCTAATTCTGGAAGAGGAATTAGTTATGCACTTTTCTTTCCTAATAGATATATATCAGGGCACTTGTGATTTATCACTTTGTACTGATATGTCTTATCTAAAGTAAGCAACCTTGGCTTATTGCGAGAATTTTTTTGTTCGTCTGTACTAATAGATAAGCAAGTGGATAGGAAAAGAAGTTTGACTTTTTACTGCTTAGGAAAGATCTTTTACGACAAAGTAGCTACTGAACTTCTAATCCCAGAAACCCAACAAGGCAGTAAGAAATCCATAGAAAAAGCTCTAGGAAGTTATTCGGAAGCCGAGAGAAAAAAGTGGAAATTTGAAAAAGATGGAGAAGGTATGAATTTAACTCAAATTCAAGAAAGTATTGCCGGAGCCTGGAGTCAGAAAAGAAGATTTTACCTGACGCCTTTGAAAGTCTACATTTTTATTCCGGTTTTGGAGAGGAAGCTGAAAAGATAATTAGATATGCTGAAAAAATTCCACTCATTAGCGCTATCTTTAGAGATATTAATGTGGAAAATTTTTTTGCCTTACGTAAACAGTTGCGTAAACTCAAACAAAATAGAGATAGCATTATGGAAGTAGACAAAGCAAAGGAAAAATAAGAAGCCTTGTTTGTTTTATTTATTTTAAACTGCTGACAAGTTTTTTTTTTATTGTGAATATGTTCGTTAAGGTTCTTTTAAATTAGTGTATTTTTTTTTCTTGTCGGTTTTGTTTTTTTTTTTTATATTATTAGTTTTTTTTAAGTTTTATTTTTTTGTTATTGGTAAGGAAATATGCATATCCGGATATATTTTATTTATTACTTTTTTTATGAATTTGTTAAATATGGACGTCTTGTTAAATTTCTAGCACAAACCAAATTTACATATATGCGATTATTTTTATTTTATATGTTTGAATTGCTTATTTTAAATAAAGGCAAAATTATTTTTATTATTACTTAGAAAGTTTTTTCCGAGTTGGAAATTAACATCAATTAGGTGCTAAAAGTAGCTAAATAATATATATA